GGCGTCAGACGCGCGAATCGCGGGCTCGCAACAGCGCTTCCGGTCGCGATAGGCGTCCGGCAAAGCGGCAACTTTCGCGGACCGCTTAAGAATACTCTGGACAGTAGTGCGCTTTACTGCTTGGGGGGGTCTTAAAGCGCTCCGTTGCCCAACGAGCAAGTTCGGAGTGAGAGCATGCAGGATCTGACTTGTGCTTCTCGCACAAAGACTGCTTTTGTGGGACATGTAGGAGAAAGGGCGATGTCCCATTGTCTTTGGCGGTAAAAATCAAAGTGTGTGTTTGTATGAAGACGTCCGATCCAAAATTTAAAATCAGATCGACGCGGCGTGTCATCCTTCGGCGAGGAGGGGAAACCCGTTGAGGTTAATTGCTAGGGTGGTGATGGGCAAAGGTAATTGCGCATCCGATTCGCGTAATCATAAAATCTGGCAGGGTATCGACTGATACCGGTGCCGAATTGGAGGTGCACGACTGTATTAATATTTGAGTGCTACTTATTCTCAGATGAAATAGCCCCTAAAGACGCTTCCTATGCTGCAAGATGCTTAGCGTACATGTAGGAATGCGCCTTTTCAAGGCCATACTATAATATACGTAATACTTTGTTCTTAATCGTTTCGACAAGTTACAATGACCAACATAATAGCTACAACTGTTTTGTTGTAGAAATATTAAGAACATATCTGAGTGTGAGGTAACTGATTGAGCTGTCAAATAGTAGTACATGTACAACAGAAGCTGGCCGTAAGAACAACGCTGTGCCAATAAATGTTGTCACCTGATCCATAAAGATACATAGTTTTAGATTGAATAGAATGAACTCATATGTGTTACTGCTGTAACCATTGTTTTCTAAGAGACTGCTGTAAGCCATTGTTTTTTAAGAGCTGTTAGGCAGCAAAATCCGATACTACTTAGCTGGCGGACGGGTCGTCGACAGGGGCGTAGGATACCCGTATAAATGGAGCGGCAATACAACAATAAACACGAGAGGTGTTAATTATAGTTGGCTAAGTAGACACCATAAAGAAACGTTATTAAACTTGGAGCCTAAATGACGTCCAATAATCCTTCGAATCATCGTTAAATTATCAAATAGAAAACACTACCGTAGCAGCAAGGCGTCTTGCGACACAATATTCAAATGCTTCAATCATAACTGGCACAGATTCGAGTGCTAACTCTGAATCAGCACAAAATGAACGCTACATACATTAAAAATAGTAAAATTTGAATATTTTTAGCTATCATTGAGTTTGATGTGAGAAGTGAGCAATCTTTAGTTACTTACAAGCTGAAATAGGCAGTACAAGCAGGTAAGTAGAGCAAGTTGGACAGGCCATTACTATCGTTTGTGCTGATGTGAGCTAAGTTTTATAGCGGCTCAGAAATGGCCCGAGATATCGAGCTCGACGCTAAACGAAACATATTGTGAAGCGTTTGTATAAATGTTATTTGAAGTGCTGGTGGTTTTGGGTGGAAGATGAAGATACAGTGATAGCCAGCAATAGAAAAGAGATTGCATCAAGAATCTTGATTCAAGATCATTAGAATAATTATTTCTTAAATCAGGTAAGCATCAAGCTGACCCAAATTAATGAAATTAAAAAGAATCGATTTAGGTGCACCTGGGCTCAACGTTTTTTTCAATAGTTAATCCGCCGAAGCGTAGCGGAGGTGGGAAGGCCAAAGCAAGTAGAACTAAACCTAAATTACCGCCGCGTAGCGGCGGCGCTCGGCTAGTTATTAACTGAATTATTAATATTTTTTTACATGATTTTAGTTACGGATTCTCAACTCAAAACGCCCAAGAAACCAAGCTTCCAAGTGTGGATCTGCAGCGCTTAAAAACGGATTTTGCAATTGATTTTTTTTTTTTTGGAGTAAGTACGGTTCATACTCTCTACCGGAAATCTACAACATGGATGAAACGGCCATCCAGCTCGACCTGCCGCCAGCAAGAACATGGGCAATTAAAGGGCGAAAAGGATCAGCTAAAAATTCAAAATCTGACAAAACACTGCGGACGCATGACGGCTGTCTTGACAGTTCGCGCTGATGGTAAGTTTTTATTTTTTTCTTTCTTTGCGCTAATTATAAGTTTTATATGATTTTGTTTACTTTTGTTTACTAAAAATGTTTGTTTTTAGAAGAAAAAAACTTCCGGTTCTCTTCATACTGCGCGGCAAACGTGGCGGACTTATTGATTCCAACGAGTTAAGCACGCTGCCAAGTGGTCACTTTTACACAGTACAAGAGTTTGGCTGGATGAGAGTTTTATGTATAAAAAATTATAAAATATTGAATTGACTCCCCTGCCCTCCTCTTAGCGGACAATTTTTATTGTCACGTTACAGAGGGGGGTATGCGTGTGGTTGCCGAACAGGCATGCACTACAGTGGTCCCATTACCCGCTAAAGCTACATCGGTTTGTCAACCGCTTGATGTAGGGGTAATGGGACCTCTAAAGTCTCGAATTCGAGGTAAATTACTACCCAAAAAAGGCCTTACGGCTGCTGAAAAACGTCTTTGAGCCATACAAGCTACAATTGCAGCTTGGGAAAGTTTTCCCAACGAGCACGTAATTCGTAGCTTTAAATCAGCAATTCCGTGCTATGAGTCGACAACGGTTTAATAAACAGGCGTAGCTAAACTTTTTATTCCATACTATCAGTTTATTCATCCAATCAAAATATGTTTTGCTAGTCGTCCGAGTTTTTGTGTCGCAGATTTTACCATCGGAATTGTGTTTATCAACTCCGGCTTTTTGTGTCGTTGTCTGTAGTACGGTCATGTACCGGTACTGTGTTTAGTAACGTCTATGTTGAATCGTAAGCAGGTGGTGTCTACGATTCCCACTTGCTTACGATTCAACATAGACGTTACTAAACACACGTTACTAAACACAGTACAGAAATCTGCCTGAATAAGGAACGCCTGATATAAATTAAGAAAGAGATTGCATAAGCTGACAATGCCTTGCTAAAAACAGACTATGATATCGGATCATGTGCATATATTTAATTAAGTTGGGATAAATTGAAGATTCGACTTTTGAATGAGACCAGAGTGATTCCAACAGTGCTGAATCGTGGAAGCGCTAGCTTTAGACAATGCAGCATCGCACCAGAGCAGTACAGCTAGCTGGTCGACGCTGTACGGGTTGCCGAGGGCCTTCGCCTAGGCGATCCACTCAGCTAGCTCATTATACGACGGATTACGTGAGCGAGCAGCCTTCTCGAGGATGGCTACCTTCTCGGACCAGGTGAGGCGGAGACGATTGGAGGAAATGGGGGTGCTGAGGACGCAGTCGGCTAGTGAGGTTGTATATATATCACTGTAAGTCAAACGTCAAGATAGAATCGTAGACACCACCTGCTTACGATTCAACAAAGACGTTACTAAACACAGTACCGGTACAAAACTGTACTATTAGTACATCAGAAAAACTCAACTTATTCAAACAATATATGTTTCTTGTGCAGTGCTCTTGAATGCAGCCCCAAGCATAAGTATTTACATTGCACCGGTCTAATTGCGGATATAATAGTCGTCTGTAAATTATAATGTGCACCGTACAGTATTTGTCCACGAATACAATCAGCGCTTGAAGCGCAATTCTCATTCCAGATTTGTGAACTGCGAGTTACGCTTGCTTTGGTCGTCTTTATAATTCTGTAATGGTGTGTAAGTTTCTTTGCTAGTTACTACGTAGTATACGGTATGTAGTACTTCGAAGTACAAGCTACATTGTTTATCGTTGCACACTGTAGCGATCGTTGACATAATATGTCAATATAATATAGCCATAAGGTGCAGCTTCAAAGCCATGGTACAGTAATACGAGATCAAGCAGCATACTAGAGCTCCTGTTGGTAGTATTAATTGTAGGAATGTTTTGCGCAGGGCATTACTGAATCTTCACTGATGCGTCGGAAATATAATCCAGTGTTTAGCCGTAAACACTGTACTGTACCGGTAGTAGAATACGATAAGATATTCGTCCGTGACCAAACCATACAGCTCGGATTGTTCGGACTTGGGCCCCTAACGAACGAGTCGAAAGGTATTGCGTCATTCTGCAATTTGTCGACTCAAGTTGTCATCGTCACTACTCAACAGCTCGGATTCTGGAAACGAACGAAGATGAACTTCAAGATTTATGCCATTGTTGCCCTTACCGCGGTGTTGGCCACGCCGATCACTGCTCAGCAGCAGCAGCTCTGCAAAGCAGATGGATGTGCCTACGAATATTCGCTCGCCAACGACGTCGTCAGCAAGTGCTGCAAAGCCATAAATGCGGATCCTATCGCTTTCCACGATTGCTGTAGTAAAAGTTGCAACACGGGTAGCCCATGCAAGTCGGTCTAGATTCCAAACCACAGCGACATCTTCGCTTCAGTGTCTTTTTGAGATACAGTGATAATCAAATAAATGAAGGGCAATTCAGCACTTTCTCGTCCGCTGGCACTTACAGTAGTTTCATCGATCATCAGTGAGGTACAGACCCACCTCCTTTTTAGCAGTTTTTAAGTGACTGAGTACGGCAGCAAGTCAGATTTGGAGAGGCAGCTACAATAGATAGAAATATGGGTGTGGATTACTCGAGAGTACCAACAACCTGCTTGAGCTCGATGCTTAAACTTCACATCAAGTTCATACTTAAGCACTACAGTATCATAGGTTAACCATGCAAAATACAGAGCCGCTAGATCTTCAAAACAGGAGCTCGCAAATTGATGGGAAGAAGCAGATTGCTTGTCCACTAATGATAACAGCTCGAAAACTTTCCGGTGATGGATTAGTCGCCTGCTTTTTAGATTATTCATATCTCCACTACCATCTACTACGAGTACTCTCTAGTACTCGATAAAAACGGGCTTATACGATCCCACGTCGCCTATAACCAGGTACGAGCACCTCGCTCAGAATTCCGCGTTTTGCAACGTGGCCACTCAGGATTCCGGTTGAGAACTATATCTTTTTAAGTGTGCTGGAGACTCCTCAGTGGCGAATACAGCGATGATAAATTGTTTCACTTCCCGGTCTCTGAAGTACGATCTGGGCCACCAGAAAATTCGTATGCGAGTGATGCGTGAATTGTCGAAGTGCATCCTCGGTACCACCAAATTTAGGAGCTGATTTCAGTGTAAGTTCTGTCACTTTCAGTCAAGTTTCGGTTGCACTTATAGAGCCGGTTTCCGGGGATTGGGTTGAAGAGACGATAAAATACCTTACCGTTTGAAATCCTCAGATTTTGAAAAATTGTGCGCCGCACGATTCGATTGGCATTCGTCGATTCCCCCCCCTTGGAGCCAGAAGACAGATTGAAGGTCCCAGCACGGTTAGCGGCGCACACAGCAGGAATGGTACGTTGACACACAACACCTCACTCTATTACACTCACTCATTGACTCTGTGTAACGGGGTACGTAGCACTAAGTGTACCCTGGTTACATGAAGTGTGACACTTCACACTTCAGGAGTATGACATGTCATACTCCGGGATATTTGGTACAAGGTACCAAGGTCATTCAAAACCAACCATTGGTTAAATGACATTGCATTACTATAGGTAACTGATAGTTTGTATTAACCTCAAACTTAACCTACCTATAAATATACTCAGTTTACAATCTACCATATTTAGGTCACTTCGCTCTCTTTAATTAAAGAGGGGACCTGTGAACTGCCGTTCACTGAGAGTTTGTATACTCTCGGAAGATAACTTCCTCTAGCGCAAGGTGCTGTGTGACCCCGTCACACTTGGTAGCACTTGTAGTCAATCCACGCCATCGCGGGTAGACTACCTGAACCTCCGAAGTTCGTTGCCATGGATAGGAACGACTTCTCCCATATGAACGACTCTCAGTTCGAGTCGGTTCGGAAGATGGCAGGCATCTTCGGGATGGAGGCCCTGCAGAGCCTGGTGGTATCAACACCGGCTGAGCAGCTCGAGCGCGTCAATGCATTCGACGCGTACGAGCAGGGCCTCATCGCGCATGTGCGGGAGAACCTGCAGGCTCCGGCGGCGGGAGCAAACCCGCCTCACCCGAAGCCAATACGGCTGAAGGTAAAGCCGTATGAAGGGAAGGAAGGCGAGAACCTTCACTTCTGGGTCCGAGAAGTAGAGCTCGCGATGGACGCGGCTCTGATCTCGACCGAGCAACTGCGTGTTGCTTTTGCACTCTCCAACCTTAGCGGTCGTGCTAAGAGTTGGGTGTACACTCGGGAAGCGACATCCCCTGGATGTTTCACATCCTGGGCTCAGCTGTGCGAACAGCTCCGAGCCGCGTTCCTCCCGGCGAACTACGAGTACCGCCAGCGTTCGCGCTTCCTCGCGTGTAAACAAGGAAGACGCGAACTGCACGAGTATGTGCAAGAGATACGGGAGCTCACGGCGTCCCTAGTGGGAAACCCACTCAATGAACACATCAAGATGACTGTGTTCATGGACGGCCTTCGAGTGGGCCCCGCACGCACTCAGCTGTTCCGGGTGCAGGCAAACACCCTTGAAGAGGCGATTCAAGTGGCTCTTCAAGAAGAATACAGCCATCGCCAGGCGCGTACGCCGGCCTCAGCGTGGCCTGGGAGTTCCTTGTCGGCTCCCGGTCGAACAAGCCCCAACGGACCAGTTCCCATGGAACTCGGGTCCGCCGAACAGCGTGACATCCGCTGCTTCGGCTGTGGGAAGATGGGCCACTTCAAGCGCGACTGTCCCGCGGAAAGACTCCGCAGACGGTCCTTCCCCAAGCCCGTCCTCAAGGGTCGCTGGCAGAAGCCAGGATCCCGGGGACAGGGGAACGCAGGGAACCAGTAGGGGCGGGGCGCCCTACTGGGGAAGAACTAAGTCTTCGTGATGGGTGCGCGGGTGGCGCGTACCACGGGGACTTAGCCCCTGAGAGTCTTCGCACTCTCGAATCGGCGAAGAGCAGCGGCGGGTTGCTCGTAGTACACGGATGTGTACGGGGGTACGATCACCCCTTTAGAATCTTGATTGACTCTGGGGCGTCGAAGAATTTCGCACGCCGCCAGACGGTTGCTCGTAACAGCAACAAGTTGTCCGAAGCTTTGCGAGAAAGCAAGGGCAAC